CGAGGGAGGAGGCTCCAGGAAGGGGAAGATCCGGGGGTCGCCCAGCCCCATGCTCTTTAACTGAGAGAGAAGCACACGTAGAACGAGCCCAGCGACGACGAGAAGAGCCCGGATGGTTTACAAAGCCCCCGCCAAGGGCCATCACACCCCGACGCTCGAGCCACAGCCTGGTCTCATGCTTGGCTGGCCCCTCTGCCCCGCCCAAGATCTCCCCAAATCTCCACCAAGGAAACCCCGACGTGAGCAAGAGGGATCCCCAACCTTACCTGAAGTACCAGAGCATCAAGCGCTACCCGCTGGATCTCCGGCACGGGGTAGGGGGAAAAAGCATCGTAGTCGGACTCGGCGTAGAGCCGGTAGCAGACGCCGGGGCCGGTCCTGCCAGCGCGTCCCTTCCGCTGCTCGGCGCTCGCCCGGCTGATCCAGAACTCCTGCAGCCGCTGCAGTTTGCCCTGAGGGTCGTAGCTCATCTCCTTCACCTTCCCTGGAGGGAGGGAGGGAAGGAGAAGCTCAGGGCAGGAGGCTGGGAGAAGCCTTCCCACCCAGCGGAGAGCAGCATCAGAGGGGGGATTTTTACCAGAATCCAGGACAAAGCGCACGCCGTCGATCGTCACCGAAGTCTCCGCGATATTGGTGGAGAGGATGCACTTACGGACGCCGGGAGGGGGCACATCAAACACCTGAGGAAGGAGAAACGATGGTCCTACGTCAGCACGGCCGTCCCCAGAGCAGGGAGAAGGTAAATACAGGTTGCACCCACCGTTTGCACCCTAACAGCACCCAAAATCGGGGCGCAGCTGGGCTGAGCTCTGGGATTCTTCGCTCTGCGACGCCCGGGTGCTGAATCCCACCCCAACCTCAGGGTCAGACCCTCACCCACCTTGTCCTGCTCCGCGACAGAGAGGGTGCTGTGCAAGGGGAGCACAATCCAGCGCTGGGTACGCGCGGCGTAAGCCTGCGCCGCCTCCAGCACCGCACCGATCTCTGCCACCCCGCTCAGGAACACCAGCAGGTCCCCGCGTTCCTCCGGCGGGTACTTGTGGTCGATGGCTTGCAGCACCCGCAGGTACGGGAGGGGATCCAGGCGCTCCGATTTCCCCGATTTCCCGACCACGGACGCTTCTTCCTTAGGGATGGGTTGGTAGATGACCTGCAGGAGCAGAGACAGGGAAGACGCTGCCTCCAGGTAGACGCAGGGAGAGGTACGCGTCCGCCCCCGTGCCAGGATTCACCCCAAACGTCACCCTTCCTCCTCACCGAGATGGGGAAGATCCTTCCTGGCACCTGCAGCACCGGGGCACCCCCAAAGTACCCCGAAAAAAGGCGGATGTTGATAGTTGCTGACATCAGCACCAGCTTAAGGTCCGGCCGAGCGGGAAGGAGCCGCCGCAAGACCCCCAGGAGGAAATCGCTGTGCAGATGCCGCTCGTGAACCTCGTCGGCGATCAGGACGTGGTACCCGGGCAGCGTCGGCTCCCGCTGTACCTGCCGCAGCAGCAGCCCCTCCGTCAGGAAAACGATCTTGGTGGCGGGCGAGCGGGTGCTCTCGAAGCGGATCTGGTAGCCCACCTGCGGCAGGAAGAGGAAGAAAAAGAGCAGAATAGAATAAAGCTGAATAAAATGGAATAAACCAGAATATTTTCAGTTGGAAAAGACCACAACAATAATGTGCTCCAACTGCCTGACCAGTTCAGGGCTGACCAAAAGTTAAAGCATATTATTAAGGGCATTTTTCTCTTAAACACCGACAGGCATGGAGCATCGACACCCCCTCAAGGTGTCTGACCACCCCCTCAGTAAAGAAATGCTTCCTAATATCAAGTCTGAACCTGGCTTGATGCAGCCTTAAACCAGGGACTACTTGTCCCTCCAGAGAATCAGCAGCACTTCCCAGTTCAGTATCATCAGCCAATTTACGCTGATTAAAAAAAAACAATTATTTTTTAATATTGGTATTTTCAATATTTTTTGCAACAGGATCGGCCCAAAATTTGCGTCCTGAGGAACAGAGCTGGTGGCCAGCTGCCAGCCAGATGTAGCCCAGTTCACTACAACCCTTTTCTTCACCCAGTAGCACCCAGTAACAGGGTAGGAAGGAACCAGCAGTGCACAACGGTGCCCAGTTAACCCTAAACCGGCCAAGAAAATCACTGGCCACCAGCCCGTGGAGCTCACCTGGTTTCCGTACTGGTGCAGGCTCTCAAAACCCACCCGCTTGGCCAGCGAGATGCAGGCGATACGGCGAGGGTGGGTACAAGCCACATGGCTATAACCGGCCGCCAGCAAGAACCGAGGCACCTGCGT